ATATATATATATATATATATATATATATATATATATATATATATATATATATATATATATATATATATATATATATATGCATATATTATCACCTGAAAACCCATAGTACCTTTAATGGTGAAGTAGAGCTGACATATTTCCTCTGCTTTTCAGTCGAATCCATACAAAATTATTTAATAAAACCAATGATCTAACTTTCTTTCCATTCCTGCAGTCAGAAAAAACTGGAAGCCTGGAACCGGAACCCTGGAATCAGTAAACTAAACCTGAGTTTTGCCGTTACCTATGCAAGAAAAAAAAAACGGCACTTCTAGCAACATTATTCCCTAAATTACAAACGTGAGGTACTACTATTGCAATGAAAACTGTGCTCATGGAGTTCAGCCATAAAAGTTATAACTTTAATTCAATAATTCAATACAAACGAATACTCCAAGCAAATTTCTAAATGCCAATAAAACATATGGACGAAACGACCATCTTGATGACCCGCACTGCCATAATTGTAAATTGAACATAAGATGACATTCCCGCATAAGACAAAAATGACTAGTTGGAAACATCAACGAATATGATGAACAGGAAATCTTGGGAAATCTGTGTTCGGTATAAATTGATGCCGTTTTCATTTTACGTATATTCTAGCAATAATTTCTCTTGTGAAATAATCTTAAAATAGTTGGTTTTTTCCCCGATGATATTAAGGGATATTGTGCTACATCCAGGTGATATGCATTCCATGTTGTATTGTAACTAAGCAAAGTCCACTCCGTTTTAGCGGAATGTTTGCAGCTATTATTATTTGTCTCAGATGTTCACTTCTTTCCGATCGATATCGCCAACCATCGCCTATCGTTTAGTGCAACTGTTAAGATTCGCTGTTTTTACTGGAGAAATTTTCGTATTCAAGTGACTGATGCCATCGCGTAAAAGCGTAATACGTAAAACGTCTAGAGCGTAAAACCAAAAGATTTGAAAGATTCCGATGAAGTAAGATTTGTGAAGCTGAAGGTTTAAGGTTCTGGAGTAATCACGCCTTACTGGAATCTTCCAATCTTTGATTTCACGCTCTGGATGTTGATGGCAACATAGCATACCAGAGTATCGATCCCGAGCTTCCTACAGTGGTATGTCTCCTCTCACTGCACATTAATTCTCTCGAACACCAAAACTCCTCTAGTAAAAACAGGGAAAGGTAAACAAATGCACTAAACGATGGACGATAGCTGGCGACATCGATCGGAACACAAATGAATTGCAAACAAATGCAGCTGCGAACAGCCCGCTAGAACAAAGTGAACTTCGCTTAGTTACCTGAATGCACCACAATATCCTTTAGGATTATCGGGGAAGAGATCAATTATTTCGAGATCATTTTACGATATGGCATCAATTTCAAATGTCCTAAGAGTCCCCTTCCCAAAATATGCGTCAAACCCAACTGAGAACATCTAAGCACTTAGAGCGAGTACCTTTTACCGGCGGTCCATTGGAAATACATCTCCCTGATTTGAATCCATCATCCTTGAGTTGAAATTGAGAAATTTAAAAAGTTAAAAACACCACAAATGCAACCCAGAGTTACGGCTCATGTCGTTGTATTTATAGTCAAAGGTTTCATAATAAACAAGCTAACCAAAATAGTTTATTAGTGACATCACGGAAGTACATGAAGTACATTGTAATTAATGTGAGTAATGCTTTTCATCATCCATTCACACACATGTGCACACTCATCATCCCATTCCATGACAAACCAAAAAAAAACTTTCTTCTCCAAAAATCATACGGACAAATGGATAATTGAGCAACGAGATCTGACGCGAAATGAAAAAGAGAACTGGTGGATATTTTTGAACACGTTAACATCGACATCACAAGTCTATACTTTCTAATATCCCATGCAGCAAGCATGACCATGCAGTGTGACAAACAAAAAGAACAATGTGAGTCCCGCATCTTAATGAACAATATCAATACATACATACATTTGCATAACGCTAAATATAAAGACAGAATTGCAGCTTTGAAACGAAATACTCAAATCATGATGAACAATAATAAAACGAATGATTCTAGGGAAATTCAATGAATTCCAAGAACAAGTACAATTGCTCCTTGACACTGCGTTGTCGGAAGCTGATTTAATGTTTTCATAGTTAATGTATCAGTTTCATTTCAACCTTCGCAATAATTTTTCGAAAAAAATGGTAAACGCTACCAAATCTTTTTCAACATCTGAAAAAGCTACCAAGAGGCACCACAAAGTGCAATCAGCATTTCTAGTCCCATAAAATAAATAATCTAAAGTTGAAGGAATAAAAATAACTGCTTGCGTTTATACACAGAAAAGTGTATAACGGAAACTGAATCAGAATAGGCTATTCTCATGACATTATACAACCGCAAAGAGGTCAACAATTAGATCTTCGCAAATAAGTAGCGAAATATATCATAGGTTTCTGTAGACTAGAAATCCTGCTAAAGCAGCTATAGCAGCACCAACAGTGATTGTGGACAACAAATACGAATCCTGAAGATAGTACACTCGTTTCAGATGCCTGAAAATTCAAAAATCTCTAAAATGTGTGTTCACTGCTTGCAAAGAAATTCCTCAAGTCTTACTATTGAAACCAAAAAAATATTATTGAAATCAAATTGTTGCTACGCACTACAACAAAATGTTTCACATACGGATAAACAGCCATCATTGCCAGTTGCAAGAAAATAGGATTATCAGTTTTGCCAGTATCATTAAGTCGGAAACGGAGTGGTTGAGGTAATGAGTGTGCGCGGCAAAAATCATTTGGTTGTTGTTCATATTTTTGTTCCACCTCACACAACTCCGATCTTGTGGCCACGATTACACATGGCACTTTTGTTCGATAGAAATATTTCTAAAATGATTCAAATCTATGAAGTTTGAGCCAGAATTTATTTCAAACAAAAAAGTAAGCAATTACAATTACTTAATGTACAACCAATAAATGAACTAAGATTTCACGTTCACTAAAGTAAAACTTGGACAAAAATCTACCTTACATCTAAAAAATAGGTATAAATAAAGATGAGTGTCAAATTAAACTCAGAGGAACAACTTTGTATGCCTTAACTAAATATATATATATATATATATATATATATATATATATATGGAAGCCTAAAACATTCTCACCAGATATATAGACGTAT